ATCAGAATCAATAAAGAATCAAATCGGTAAGTGATGTCGATAATGACATTTGAATCACTAAATACTAATCCCACATCAGAGTTATAGTTTTTTTTTTCTGTGTTTACTTTGTAATTATACTGATATGTTCAATATTAGATCAACTTCAGCAATATTTTTATCAAAGATTCAAAATGTGCAGAAGGTTCATTGTTAAGTATTCTGAAACTGAAATTCAGTAAAAGCATCATCAGTTGCAAACAATCAGTTCATTTCTGAGAGAAAGGAATGGTAAATGGACTGATTCTTATATAACGTTTTTCTACTCTCCTGGAGTACTCAAAGCGCAACATTCACTCATACACACAAGCACTGTTGTCTATGCTTTGTCAGTGCTTCCTAACTAACATACATTCATACGCATTCATGCATCGGAGAGCAAGTGGGGGTTAGTATTTGGCATGCAGACTGGGGGAGCCAGGAATCTAACCACCAACCTTGCAATCAGTAGATGACCTGCTGTACCTCCTGAGCTACAGTCACTCCAATCCAGCGGCTGGATCAATACAGAAAGGGATTGATCTCATGTGTATTTGTTTACATAGTTTTTTGGTAAAATCATATTTGTCATTTCAATCTCACAAGCAACTCATTTAATGCCTGGCAAGCTTTGAAAAAAGAAATAATAAGGATAATAATAAGGAATTAATGAGGACTGCTAGACAGCCAGATGATGCAGCTAACTTGGTGTCACTTGAATGAATTCTTTTGAGAGATCCTCTGTTCTGCTGACTTAGAGATGCATAAAAGACTGACATATATTTGATGCCCTTGCTACAGCATTTGAAGATATCTTCTTTTTCTTTCAACTGCTCTCTTTAGGAGTCGCCACAGTGGATAATCTGCCTCCATCTCACCCTATCCCCAGCATCTTTTTCTGTCACACCAACCCTCCACATGTTTTCCTTCACTACATCAATGAAACTTCTCTGTGGTTTTCCTCTTTAACTCCCTTTCTGGGAGCTCCATCCTTAAAATTCTTTGTCCAGTATATCCACCATCTCTTCTCTGTGCATGTTTAAACCATCTTGGCCTTGCCTGTCTATCTTAATCAGTCCATTGTCCCTCAGATGTACACATTTCTAATTCTGTCCATTTTAGTCATTCAGAATGAAAACCTTAACATCTTCAGCTTCGCTTCCTGTCTTTTTGTCAGTGCCAACATCTCCTAATAAAAGCAAGCCTCACGATGATCTTGTAAACCTTCCTTTTACACTCTTGCTGATATCCTTCTTTTTTAACAAATCACTCCGCCTTACTCCACCCCGCCTGCACAATCTCCACCCTGTGTATTTAAACTAACCTACCATTATTACCTCTGTTTCTTACAGTTTCACTGTTACGCCTGTTTCCCTCTCACTCTCACACTTGCATCTACTGACTTTCATTCCTCTTCTTTCCAGTGCATTTGATGTCTTTGTTACCTGTTGAAGATGCTGCTGGATGTTAAGCATTCACTCAGCCTTAACATCACTCTGGCTTCTTTAACTGGCTTGGTTTTAGCATGCTGTCTGTGCAGATGCTTGCACATAGCCAATGCTGGATTAGCAGTATAATGTATTTGTTTTACCCTGATCACAAATTCCCCTCTTGTCCTTATGTGCAACAAAAATAAAAGTAATCTTCATATCACCACTCCACAAAAAATGTAAATGTTTTGCCATTTTCCTCCTCCCTTCACACGAACCAAAATCACCTGATTGTTGTGCAAGTGTCCAGAAAGAAAGGAGGGTATTTAATTGTTTTCTCTTTCAATGTGTCATTTATGCAAATAAATAATACATTAGATTGCTGCATAACCCAAAAAACGTAATATGATTACAGAAATCGGTTGCTGTGTAGCAGATTTCCCCCAATGTTCCAAAGGACCTCCACAGGGGAGAAGAATGACGAAAACATGGACAAAATGAACCCTCAAACATTGATGATGCTTCAGAAGATAAAAGTAACGCAGCAACGGAAATTACATAAGGATTGTATTTTAGATGACGGCATGGTCCTTGATCCTATCATTTCCAACAGCATTAAAAGTGCACCTGCCTACCCCATTAACCTTTGAGTATACTCTTGTTGCATCAGCATGCTAACATACTCACAATGACAAGCTGTACATTAGAAAGCTCTTATTTATTAACTGTGAAGATATTATTACTTTTACAGATGTTTGGACAAATATACATTTTCCCCCTGATGATGGGACAGAAAGTTAGAGTATTGTTAAAATGTAAATTCCATAGTAATCAACAGTATTTTTTAAAGATTTTAAAGGTCCGCAAACTTGAAGGACTTATCTTTCTATGTAGACTAAAACAGATGAGAGCATGTAAATGGGCACTCTGGACAAAATATCATAGCGATCTGTGCCGGGACCAGTATCCTTTACATCATACATGCTTCCATAGGGCAATATTATTAGAAAACACTGCATATATTTTCCTTGCTATGCAGACGATATTCAGCTATATCTGAATGAAGCCAGGGCATCGTAGAGAAACTTGATATCTTACCCAGTGATATCTGACATGCAGACTGGAGCAGCCAGGGATTAGTAGATGACCTGCTCTAAGGCCTGAGCCACAACCAACTTTGCTTATGTTTTTCCCATATTAATATTTCTTCATTGGCTCCCTGTAAAAGCCAGAATTGAATTTCAAATGCTTTTCCTCACATGCAGAGTCTGAACTAATCAGGCCCTATCAGATCTTAAAGACCTCATACCACATTATGACACTACAGCACTTCACTCTCAGATTGTTGGTGTACTTGTGATTTCTAGAGTTTCTGAAAGTAAAATGGGAGGCAGAACCTTCAGCTATCACGCCCATCTCCTGTGCAACCAGCTCCCAATTTGGATTTAGAAGACAGACACTTTCCTATGTGATGAAACCTATACTTGGGTGGATCAAGTGACCCTATTATAGGTTCAGACTGCTGCAGGACTTCAGGCGATACACTGTGATGCACAGAGCACTTCTTTGCAACCAACAAATTAAACTGTCAATACAAATAAGTGTTAACAGGCATTAGATTGAATCAAACCATCACTTTCAAATTTGTAGCTAATGGCGTCACATTTCAAACTGGTACAGCTCATGTAACATCTGTTTGGGCCCTTTACCACTAGGAGTGATCTGCATTTCTCTTTGGGTTCTATCTCTGCATGATAACACATGTCATCTGCACAGTTGCTATTATGCAAATGGAGCACAAACACACATTTTATCAAAAGACATTTGTCTCAGTAATGAGCAGCAGATGACAACTTTGCACCGATGTGTTGTGCCACTTCACTATTAATTAAGATCAAATTAGTTTGGAAATGTTAAAGTTCATCACTCTCACAGAAGGGAACTTTTAAGTTGTTGTTGTATTAGGGTAGTATCTGATGAAATGTCTGCTATGGAGACATTAAAGTGCACGGGGAGATGGAAGTTCATTCATTTAAAAAAATAAAATAAATAATAATAATGAGTGAGTCACATTGGAAGAATGAGCAGGTGAGGCCTCACCAGGAGGAAGTAAAGGTGACAAGAGTGAGAAAAAGGTCATTATGGAGATAAAGTAGTGCACCAACACAATTTTCCAGTGTTACTGGCATTTTCAGCCTTTTAAAAAAAGTTCAATTTAACACAGCTGAACTACTACAAATAAACAGACTATAGTTTTAATGGGTATGTTACTATGATGTACTTCTTCTTAATATACTATCACATGACAAACAGTAACATTTACATACCGGTAAGTAAAAGTAGGAATATCATATTAAGTGGTGGTGTAAAAACTAAAGATGTTCTTGCATTCTAATGCAGTAGAATGAGCAAGGAGCACAAAATGTACCTGAAAGCTGTACAGACAATACAAGTAAATTAATTTGTCACTATTTTAAATGTATTGTCTTTTTTATCCTATATTATAATTTGATTTTAATCACAGAGGCGTATTCTATATTGTTTTGTCTGTTTTGTCACTTTAAATGCGTACAGTCCTTTCTGTTGCTATTTCTATTCCATTAGACATATGAACTTTTACCACCTATTACTGTGATCGTTGTCAGAAAGAAAGCATCCACAGAAGCTTAAATGGATGGTTGATAAGGTTAAAAGTAAAATTGGGTTAATCAGCTGATCTTTTCAAAACCATGGTCTCTCCTAAGAGGTTACACTGTATAGTTGCTGTGGTGGTCGCTGGTACATTTTCTGTCACTGGTTTGTCAAAACAGGTCATTTAAAGAAAGGAAACCAGTCAAAGCTGTGACTCTAATCTGTTATAAAAGAAATGCAGGTTTTAAAAAAATAGAAAATTTAAATGTCTTATGTAAACATAATTTTCAGTTAATTCAAGTGGTTTACTTGCTCATTGCTCATTGATGAAAGCTCCAAATGTTTTCACCGGTATGGTTCTTTTTATATGTTTGGTCTTTATGATATGCATCCTGCACGCCGTGCTTGGATAGATTTCACTCAAAAATATGCTTATGTTCAAAAATGCTCACTAACTTTCCACGTAATTTTGTTACGTAAGTACGATGTAAAATATTCAATTTAATGGAATCTGGTCAAATGAAAAATACTTGATTGGTACATATTCAGTTTATACCAAGCATATTTTCTTTCTTTCTTTCTTTCTTTTTTGTGTGTGTGTGTGTGTGTTCCGTGTTGAAAGCAAATTGCCTCTCACAAGGACGCAAATATCACAGCACAAAGAAGAAGACATCCAACCAAACTGCAAATAGCGGAAGCTTTAACCTGCACTGTGTTCCTCTGTGAGCGTAAAAACGCGTTTTGTTGTACCTTTCACTTCCCAGCCCATCTCAAAACTCCTTTTTTTAGTTCAGCCCACATTCCAGTCTATTAAAATCCTCTCCCAGTGCGCCAACGTTTCTTGCTTATCTCTTGAAATGTTTGCGTGTTTGCAGAAACAGAAAGCCTCACACACTCACACACACGCGCGCGCGAACCCACCGCTGTGGTCGGTTTGGTTTTGCGCCTCGCTCCTCCTTGTCTGGCTACATATCTCACGAGCCCTCAGGTGCTGGGAGATGATGGCGCAGTCCGGATGAATTGCTTCGGCCTGAAAATAAGATCCAACTAAGTTATCTGCAGGAAAGCAGACACATGTGCACAAGCTGACTTTCTTTCGGAGCCTGATGGAGTTATGGTGCCAAACGGTGCAGCATTTGGGGGGGGGGGGGAGCGACTTGGAAGTGAAATGCAGTTTATTAAACAAACATCAACAACAGACATAGTTTTAGAGCAGATAACGAGCCTGCACTCTAGAAAAGAAAAACGACATTTACGCGTGACTTCCCTGATGTTTACAAGTTAATTCAAGTTGACATTTTGAGCCAGAATTTGAATCATACTAAAGAACAGGTCCCGTTTTTGCGAATTCATTCCCCGATCTGTATGACAACATCTCTGTATCCCCCCCGGCCACCCACACACACACACACACACACACACACACACACACACACACACACACACACACACACACACACACACACACACACACACAGCGCGCGCGCGTTTTCCCTGCTGATTTGCTCTTTGATTGATAAAGACGCAGGTTGATGGATGCCGGTCGCTAATTAGCGCCTCCAGCTTAATGAGGACATTTGCCGTTCAGGTCTGATGCACGCCTCGGAGAGAGAGCGAGAAAGAAGGCAGAGGACAATGTGAAAAGGGGTATTAAAGTAAAGATGTCATTAGGGCGTAATTGAGAAGATCGTTTTCTAATTAAAAGCGTTTTTGCGTGTTAAAAGCTCACACCAAAGGGACTTTGTTTCACTTTGAGCAGCTTTTAATCACTTCATGGATAACGGCACCTTGGCAGACAGGAAGATTCTGCGGCGAGTGCGCATAAATAAAAGAATCAAAATGCCACTCACCACGGGGCTGAACAACATCTGGAGATAAAAGATGAGGACAACAAATTTCCCCTGTCGTCCTTTCAAACCCTTACAGTTCATTTCCATGTTCTTATCTGTCTTCTTCATATCCCTCACCGGATGCCGATGAGACCGCAAATCCAGGTTTATTTGTTCTTTTTTTCCGCCTCTTCAAGCCTGACTTCTTCTTTATAGCCTCGGTGCGAGCATGTACTCTGTCAACCTATTTCTCCCTGCCAGCTGGAAACTTGAGGGAGAGGAAAGCTTCTCTCTCTCTCTCTCTATCTCTCTCTCTCTCTCTCTTGCTGTGTGCAGATGAATGAATATCGCCATTCAGAGACATGGGAGTGGGGGTACGAGATATTAAAAATAAATAAATTTTAAAAAAGAAGAAGAAGACAAAGAAACAGCCAATGGCCTATTTTCAAGTCATATTTTTATATTTTGTAAATATTTATGACTAAGATGCTAACAGTCAGCCTAAAAGTGTAAAAAAAAGAAGCTTGTATTTGTACACAGGCTAATAGGCAAACCATTTAATTATTAACAGAAGACATCATGACCTACTAAACAACGTGTAGGGGGTGGAGTGCAAGTGTCAAGCATTTAGAAATGTACTAGTCACATATTTTAATAACAATTGTAATGCTCACACAAAAATGATGATGCATTTTAATCAAAATAAACAGTACGTAACCGTACGTATTCTTATATTAGCACAGGTGCCATGTCATTTCAGCTTCTTTTTTTTTCAAGATGGTTGGTTTCAAGATGGTTATTTAGCAATAAATATTGTTAAATTGCTTTCATGGTAAGGGTTGGGTTTAGCATTGTTCATAAGAAAGAACACAACGATGCTGCACTTATGTTTTTACAGTAGAGTGGTACACAAATGGGGGTTTTGGCACTCTGATTTGGAGCTATTTAAAACTGCAGAGCCAGTTTATTTATTGTTAATCCAGTCCGTGATTTACGCAGAGGGTGTTCACGTAAAGCTCCTTCATGTAATAAAGCTGGAATTTGACAAATATGTTACTGACTACATGAGAATTAAAAATAAAATGAATTAGTCTCCTTTTGTTTTTCTTGGAGAAAACACTGATGCTCTGCTTGTGTCCGCTGACTGATTGGTTAACGACTTAAAACTGGAGATGCTCGCTCATAGCTTTTAAAATGATAAGTACAACAGACTTTAGAAGCACAGCAAAGCATGGAAGCAAAGCATAAAAAATTGTACATGAATCTGAAAGGAACTGGTTGGGGTGGTCCCTGATGAGTGCTGTCAGGTGGCTGCTGGCAGAAATTCTCTGCTGCTGCTCTTTGATGTGTGAAATCTAAATGGCAAATGCAGTAAAGTGGTCTTTGGAGCTGTGGCATTCCCCATCCTTACAGAGAGGTATTGCAATAAGCAAAATGTCAAAAACAAAAGTAAAAATAAAAACCAGAACTTTGCCTGTATTCTATCAAATACAATAAAACTTTTTTTTTTAATCTCATCAGTGTTACATTTTTAGGTTACAGCTCTATAGGGTTCAACTGATTCTGGACTTGTGAGCACCCGCTACGAGACCAGAGAGTCATAGTTCCCATATTTAGAAAGTCTCTGGTATCAGAGCTTATGGAAGCTGTGAAAATGATGATAACTGTGCAGTTACCTGAGGCTGGAGAGCTGAATATCTTTTTAAACAATGAGCAGTTTGATTTGAGTATATCTGAAATTACTAGAGGTGTGCCAGCAGTTGTTAAATATGAGTAATTAACAGTTAGCCTGATGTGAGAGACAACCATCAGCTTGTTAAGCTGTTTCAACTTGCTTCTTTGATCTGGCGCCACAGTCGCTGTTGATCATGGTCCCAGCAGGCCAGCATCCTTTCACTTCCTGTCTCTCTCATCTCCTGCTATCTCGTTTGCTGCCATGTGGAGTACAGTCAGGCCTTGGTGTCCTGCCCTCAATCCAGCCACCATACCTGTCTATCGTCCATCCAGCCATTTCCCTCTATTTGTCCAATTCAGGGTCACAGGCGAGCTGGAGCCTGTCCCACTTAGTGCAAGAGGCGGGGTACACCCTGGACAGGTGGCCAGATCCTTCACTCTTCACCTGGTTGTTGTCACCTTTGCAGCAGTAACTTGGATTTCAACTCACGAGTAGTTCTTGAGTGTACCTTCTGTTTCCTGACCTCGTTCTCGCACCAAGCTTGGACTCACCAAGCTTGGACTCAAGTCACTTGCGAGACTTTCATGTTGTTCATCTGCAGAGGAAGGATTTTTCTACAAATCCAAGCTGCTTTTATCTCCTTCAAACTCACCTGCCTGCCCACTCTCCTCTGGCACGGCATTCTGGAAGCCAACTGCCAATCACAAAGAAAACAAAATTCAAGTCGTTTGTTAACATTTTTGGCGAAATAATCTTCTGCAACCGTATTTACCTGCTCTCCTCTCTGGAAGTTCCCCGTGCCCCCAAAATGACTCACATGATCTTTGCCCAAAAATCCTGTTATAATAAAAGTTATTAAAAAATGTGTTTTTCATTACAACTCTGTCATCACTTTCCAAAGTAGAGGAGACTGAAAATTTTCATGACTAATCATTGGAGTTAAAGATAAGCAAAAAAAATCCAAGTTGACACACACACTGGTTTGAATACAGACTTTTTGGATGAAGAAACCGGCTGGGGCAGCAGTAGTGTTAGATTTCACCTGACAATTTGCTAAGGTAGTGTGTGTTAATGTTTTCACTTGTGTTGCTTGCTGTGTTTTGAAATGACCACGTAGTAAATCTGGGGCTAAGTGGGAAGATAGATCTGGCCTCGGAGCTGCTCTGAGCAGGAATTTATGGTGTTCTTTGTTGGGGAAAAAGAAGCACAGTAAAAGTGTAATAAAGATGTTCCTTCAGAAAATAATGCTCATCTCCCTCTCACACCAACAGGTCAACACTGTCACCCTAAGTGGTAAACCACCCTAAGTCTCATTCTGTAGTTGCTTTTGTTGAGACAACGCCGGTCTCTGCCATTCTTTTGGTCCTGGTAGAGATCACGCTGAGATGTTTCCCTGTTTTACACAATCCTTTTATTACCCATTATTCTTACAGATGCATCTGGAGATCAGCACACTGCATCCTATGCAGTCCTATGCTAAAGGCTGATCTAAAGAACTTTACACAACAGTAACAGTTATAACCTCTGGTCTCCTCCTCCCCCGCAGTAAACACCCCCACAATGGAAATACACTAGTACAGTGGCCAAGGGTGCTGACATCCTGACCCCCACCTCCTTTTAAGGTAGTGTCCATTTGCCCTTTGTCTGCCCCTCACCCTCAGTAACTCTGGCTTCCTGGCCTGGGGATGGGGGTTGATTGTCCTCCTGCCCTGCACCCCAGTTCTTTGTTCCCAGAATGATTTCAAGAAATTCACTGACTGGACTCAAGTGTTACCGTATTTATGCCTTTAAACAATGCAGTCTATACTGGAACGCTCAAGGTGGTTTTCAAATGGGGTCACCCTATACAGTTTTCAGATGTGAATGTGGAGCAGTGCAGTGCTAAAAAAGCCAAAGCCTCCCCTAAAGAGTAGCTTTCCAAGAACAGGAATATAGGTTTCAGCCTTGAAGTGCTTTTCAGAGCGACCGAGTGATTAATCTATCGAACATTTTACTGCAACCAGAGCTCCTATCAAACAACAGAGGGACGTCGTGAAGGTTTTCATCTTTCTCCAGGTGTGAAACTGAAAAACAAATCTCCCTGCAAAAACGTCACACGTTATCAGGGCGTCACCTCGGCACGGGTTTCCCATAATGGTGATCCTATAACACGTTACCTGTTCACACACTGGGGACAAAAGGTTTTTGTGCTGCCTGGTGGGTAATTACTTGTTTTTCAAACAGTGCATTTCAACAAGGCTGGACATCGCCTGTTTGATCACTGGTTTCAATTCTGCGGAGGCCAATCTTTATGTTGCAAGGATGCTGTAAAGCAGCTGAGTGTCTGATAACCAGAGGAGTCAGTCCCCTTTTTTCATGCAGGTGTGTGTGGGGGATTTGTTTATCTTAAACCCATATGCAGCAGTCTCCCACTTTAGGATCCAAACAAAAGGACATTTTATTTTGCAAATTTAAAGACCAACATTCACTAATTCAAGAAATTCAAGTGTGTTTGGACCTTAAAATAGCGTTTAAATCTATTTTTCTACTGCCACCATCCAGGTCACATCCTCCTCAGACCAAAACAATCAATCTTATCTTTATTTGTTTAAATATGTGAACAAATGGCAAATATGAGATTTATTTATTTGATTTTGCAAAGAGCTGGCTCCAAATTAACTTCATAAGTGAACACAGATCTGCTTTATTGTGCAAAACGCCTGCTTTATATTGCACAGGTCCCTCTTTTGCTGCCAAAATACTTCATGGTAGGAAATCCATAAGAAGTATACAGCTGTCCTTGATTCAGGGTGTAAGATGTTAGCACTGAGTTTACTCTGGGCTCTGCTTTCAGGTTTTAAAAATGCAGCTTCTAAAAGGAGACATTAACCTTTTTTAGGCCAGAACTAGTGAGCTGTGAGGTGAGATGATAAATTAGTTAAACACAACAGTTTGAATCCTGCGTGAAGCTAAGCAGCATTAGTGAAATCTGTGCTTGTCTGCTGGTGTGGTTTAGAACAGAGGGGAGAGTTGCAGGAGGACTGACTTTCAATTAACATTCACATATTGTTTTTCTCCCTCCTGCAGCTTTAAGTCCTGTAAGTAGCAAAATTGGGCCTCGAAGAACAAAACTTGTGTCACATCCGACAGAAGATTAATCATTACTGTGATCTGGGGAATTTGGAGGCTAAGTCCTTGAACTCTCTGTCATATTCAAACCATTCTGAGTAATGTTTGCAGTGTAACAGGACATTATCCTAATTAGTGAGGCCACTACTGTGGGGGAATGCTGATCAAGATATTGTCGGTGACAAAGTAACATTCATATGAGCACCAGCAGAGCATCGTGCTGCCTCTTAAGTGTTGCCTCTTCCCATATAGTTAGTCCAGCTGCTGTTTCTTCCCCCTCGTGAACAATGCTTACTCAGCTTGGCGTGTAAAACAAAATGTGATTCATCAGACCAGCTTCTTTCATCGCTCAGTGATGCTCACATGCTCACTGTAGGCAGTTTGTGTAGTCAGCATGGGGACACGAGCCAGCCTTCCTTCCCCACACACATCACTGAGCCTTGGGTGTCCGTGATCCTGTCACTGCCTCAGCTGCTGACTTCTGGAAAATGCTAACTGCTGCACACTGGGAGCACTTCCACTAAACCTGTTGTTTTGAAGATGTGACCCAGTTATAGCCATCACAAGTAGACCTTCGTCAAAATCACTCAGATCTTAACTTACACTTGTTAGTGCCATTGATTTCACTTGTCAGTGGATTTAATGTTGTGGCCAGCTGTATGAAGCAGCAGACCCCAGCAGACACTTGCTGTGCAGCTTGAATATGGAACATAAATAATGCAAAAATCATCAACTGACATCACAAGTACTGGAAGTAACACGAAACTAGGACAGGAGGAGGTTTGATGACAGAAGAACAGATTAGGCAGTCAGCGAAGTAATATTGTTGGACAGCATCCAGGAACATATGAGATCAAAGAGGAATGAAGGTCAAAAACACATGAAAGAGTTCATTTGTATTTAATCAGCCTGAGCTATATACAGCATCTTGAATGCTGATTCTCTTCCAACAGTGATATTTTGGTTCACCAGCATAACTGAGGACTAAGACTCCAAAAAGCAACTGAGTTCATTGGCTTGAGTTCTACTCCAGACAGAGGGGGGTTTATTATTATTATTATTACAAGTCAGTATAATAAACTTCAGTTCTTTTAATCAAACTGTGGAAAAGCTCACCTGTAGGGAGTGTAAAATTATTTTAACGTTGCTCAAAAAAATAAAACAATAAATAAAATAAGATATACGGTAATTTATTTACAGCAAATGTTGGAAAATTCCTTTGTTTACCAAATTAGACACACAGTAGCTTAAAAAGTAGAATATATTAAATAAAGATCAACAAAAAAATACAATGTGACCCAGCATTTATCTCAATAATAATAATAATAATAATAATAATAATAATAATAATAATAATAATAATAATAATAATAATAATAATAATAATAATCTAAGTCTATACTGTTGTATATTATATATTTTCTAGGTGATGGAGAAGGTCAAGAAAATATATTTGGCTAATTCGTTTGAGTTATTTTTGCTTTTATTTATTTATTTATTTATTTATTTATTTATAAACAGGAGAGGGGGTGGGGAGACCTGCATACCTTTTTAAAGTAATATAAAAGATAATGTGCTGAGGAAGGCGGCACAGCCTGCCAAAACATCAGTAAACTGAGACAGCTGACAGCTAACGTATTCTGCTATGCAGTTCCTGGAGGTTCATGGGTAATGAAGTCTTTGAGCAAAATGGATTCTACCAATTTTGTGCTTTAACGTTAGCTAAAAAGTGAATTCCCTTTATTGTGAGAATTAGTAAACTTGCAGCATGTTTTATTTCTTGTTTTTTACTTATGTTATTTTATATAAATGTTAGATAAGCGTTTAAAATATCGTTAAAGTCGTTAAAACGCTAACGTCCTCCCCCCTCCGCCACTGAAGAATAGAGGGTGCCTGTTAACGTGAGTCCTCTTCTCCCGTCGGATTACAGCCGAGGCGGCACGCTAAAGGACTTCTTCTTAGTCATAAAACGTCGAATTAAACCAACAGTAAGTACATTAAAGTTGTATTTTTTCACATGTGGAACATTTTTTAAAAAGTAAGATGATTGTTAACTCTGCAACTTATTCGGAAATTAAAGTTTTTTTTAACGCCACGTGGTCAGCTGAACTACAAGTTGGTGGTACTGTGAGAAACTTTGGCTAATGTCAGAGAGTGCAAGCAACCGGCGTAAGCCATCAGTGATATTTACGGTCGTTACTGCTACTTTGATTAGAAATGCATCACAGTTAGAGACTTCTGTTGCTCGTGAATTGTACTTTTCTTTTGAGTTCCCCCTATCCTTTTGGCACTTCTGTAGCTTTATCACAAAGGTTTTTAATATTAAATAGTAAATATTAAATTGAATTTCAGAGGCTCTCTTGTTTCTCTGTTGCACATTAGCTTCGTATTCTAGTTAACAAGGTGAGTGTCGATGTTGAGGCTACTTTTCAACTAATACTTTAACACGTGCACTGGATTTTGCATTCTGGTGATAATTAAAGTAGTTAACACTCATTTGACAGTTTGGAACTGATTTATTTATACATTTTTTTCTTAAACATGTTTCTAGTATTTTTGTCAGCGACTCAATATTCACTAATTAGTTTGTCTTGTAGATCATTTCCCCCCCTTATTTCGTGCAAAGCTCAAAGACATTAGCATTGAAAAGTTCGTGCATGTTTGTGGTTTTTGTTTGAAAAGTGAGTGCAGAGAGTACTGTCAGAACGAATTGTTTTAGATCAAACTACATCCTTCAAAATGATGGCTAACCATTGAAAATGTCTTGAAAAGGTTAAATCTGTACTTGTTTTAAGAAGATGTACCTAATAAACTGCCAAATGAGACTACAATAATCAGCCACAATATTAAAACCGGCTCTATCCAGAGCTACTTTGTCCACACAGTCTGGCAGCGGCTTCAAAGTCTTTTTAAGGTGGAGGTTCTCATGATTTAGGCTTGTTTCAACACATCCTGTAAGTGATGTGTTTAGCTTTAAGTTTGAGCCCAAGTAGAAAACCTTGGGTTTTCTATTGTTCCTCAAGCCTTTCCAGAGTAGTGTGCATTGTGCTGGGACTGTCATTGTTATTTGGCAGGGTGTCCTTGGTTGAAAAGTAAAAGTAACATCTACTTGAATGCCAAACCCAGTGTGCCAATGCACTGCAAGCAGGTGATCTGTTTAATTCATTTTTTACCTGCCAATGGTTTTAATTTTGTGGCCGATCACTGAACACCTGCCATGTGACTGAAAGTTTGTCTGTTTGTTTTGATGGCTTAGGAATGAATTCTGAGTAAACAGTGAATTATTTCAATATCCAATTTTGCAATAGGCACTGTACTTTATCCCCATCATGCCAAAGCAAAGGTGAGCTACAAACTGAGTTAAAATGACTGTTTTGTCTTATTTAAGGCATAAACAGTGTTTTCTTGTCCTGCTGTGTCTAACGGGAGTGGCCTTTTTCTAGTTTTACAGCATATCTGTCTTTATTTTAATTTTTACACCTTAAATGATAATAAACAACTTGATTTGAAATGGACACGAGGGAAATACTGTAAGCAAAACCTAACCTGAAGTTGGGTCTGGTTTGTTTTGGCATGGCTTGTCCGGTGTGAGATGAAAGTCTATTTTGTAACCTTTCTCTGCATTATTTCATAAACATTTATTCATCAAATCTTATGTAAATAAACTATTGACTAACCAGTGAGTGTGAGTGCAGTACCACCTTCACGCTGAACTAATGGCTCTAGTTTCCACCTGTTGCTTCTTTTCTCTCCAAACAATCCAAAAAAGACAAGCAAGTAAAGAAATGGATCAGTCTTGTCAAAATCATCAGCAAAGCAGAGCCCCTCAGAACGCTGTACCTATGGGAACCTTCAGGCAGGGTAGTGTTCCCGCCCTGGAGAGGGGCATCATTAGTGGAGACAACGTCCAGTTTGGGAGGCTGCGTCGTCACACGCGTCTGTCCCAGTCGGAGAGCTCTGGGGCTGAAGAGGAATGGTTGAGCTCCTCAGTGGAGGCGAGTGGCTCGTATGGTCAAAGCCCCGTGCTGCAGGGTTTGCAGGCAGAGGCAGTGTGGTACAACCGCAATATTCACGATCAGGTTGAGAGTGGCGGACTGCTGTCGTCCTCTCCCCGGAGCCCAAACACCAGAGGATTCTTGCTCTCTCACTCCAGACCCAATCAAAGTCACCTGCAGGGTCAAGGACCCTCTGTCACCACAGTGAAGGCCTCCGGTACGCCCCACCGTCAGATTGGCAAAGGCCGCAATCGCACCTCCTCTGAGACAGAGCAGGGGGGCAAAGGTAGCAGGGGACCACACCCAAGGAAGAGGGGCATCTCTGAGACGGAAAGCAAGCCCAAACGGGACAAGTATGACACCTCTGTCATGGAGTGAGATGTGACGTGTGCTTTTTGGCTCATTTAACACTTTTTTTTTTCTTTTCTTTTTTTCTGTGTGTTGGCTGTTTATGCTGACTTCTACCTGTGTGGGTTTTTTTGTTTTTGGTTTTTTTTTTTCTCCCCATACATAGACCTTCTGGTTGAACTTACGTGTGTTGAGGGCAGGTGGACATGTACTGCATATGGAACCAACGTATGTTAATATGGGGTTATTCAAAGTTTGTTCAATCCAGTAAAAATGCCACAGTTGCTTTTCCCAACCCTCTTATTTACCAGCTGCTAGTGTTACGCTTATTTTTAGATTCGGAACATTTAAAAAAAACCACCTTTCTGACCCTTGTGTGCCTGTACATATTTGTTTTCACACATGGAGTCCAGACGATGTCGGGGTGGCCAGGTTGGGACTTTCTCACATGTGACTTACAACAGGAGATAATTAGCATTAAACTTACTCTCATAATGGAAATGCTTCATTTCATTAAGACGTGTGCTGCATGGATTTGCAATGCCTGTGCTTTGCTTTTCTTTTTTTCCTGTTTGACTCTTCAATTGTAACTGTCAGGTGTCGACTACAAAGGAATGCCCAAGTTAGTTGTATACAGTTCTCCCCTTTCAAGGGTAATGGTATGTGTAGTCAGGGGGGGTTGTTGGCAGGCAGTGACTAGCCTTTTGTTCAGTAATCCAGACTCTGCAGATCAGGCAACTCTGTTTGTGTGAGTGTGTAGACTGACTGCTGCAGTAATTCACAAGCTGAATGTGACAGGGGTAAATCATAGCTGAAAGCATTGGGGAGAAACGAACTGCAGTGTCAAACTTCACCTGTAGTTCCTGCTGTTGTAACCTGTAATACAGCAAAATCAATCGAACGGCTGTCAAAGTTGTTACGTTGCTTTCCGTCTCAGCAGTTTGGCTATAACGCCTAAAATTCTTGTCCCGTGGTTTGCATATAAATTATCAAACTGTTCTGTTGAATTGCTAAATCTCTCATGAATTCTTATTCTTTTTCAGTACTAACATGAGTGGACTGATCTGCCTTACCACAGAAAGCATCTGGTTTGACAAAAACCGCTACGATGAGGCAGAAAAGCGTTTCTACGAGGGAGTCAACGGACCTGCCACGCCGCAGCAGCAGGTACAGAAACTTCATCAATCCATTTCTTAAATGCTAAACACTTTTAGAGGGTTTTAATCTGTAGTCTTTACTCAGAGCTATTCTGCCTGACTCTCTTTTGGTTCATGCCCTCCTGTCGGTGGCAGCGCAGCTCCCTTTTAGACAGTGTCCTGTTGATTCAGGCAGTAGTTACATCATCTTCTGTCACAGCTCATGGCAGCCTGGAGCAGCTGTGTGCATGTGAGTTAAGCCTCTCGATTTAGAAGTGGCTTGTACTAGCAAGAGGGTCAGGTGGTTTGGCAGCTGTCTTATCTTCTCAGGGCTGCTGCAGCAGTTCTTGGAGTTTCTATATAATGCTGGGAAAACAATGAAAAGAACCACATGCAGATAGTCTTGGTTTTATGTGCAGAGTTATTTATAGATCTCTACAACTGATGTTGCTTGAGGGCTCCACAGGTAGACGTGTCAGTGCATTTTATTGAATCAGGTTGGAAAAAGTTTAAATGAAAGGTCACGTCTCAGGACACAAGTGTGTGGGGGATTACATCGGCAGCATGAGCTGCTGGTTAGGCCATCGTGCCAGGCTCGTGTACCCTCAGGTCTGCTCCCAGAGTCTGTAACTTTTGTATTGCTACATCAAATGCAAATAGATAAGACAAGTTTTGTGTGTGTGTGTGTGTGTGTGTGGGGGGGGGTGTGTGTAAGGTTTGCCTCTATTTTACAGAAGGGAGGGGGGGGGACCTTTATTAAACCAGTCGCCCCACTTTTGTCAGTCCTGCACACTGCTTTGTCTTTGACTGCTTCTACTTCATTAGCTCTTTTTCCCACACGTGCCTGCGGGTTAGGTGAGATGATGCCATCATGCAGGACATTGCTAAATCCACTAGGAAAATGTAGAGTGAGTACCACATTGTGCATGAACTGCAGATGTTCACCGTGTCATAATGTGGAATTGAAGTGTAAATGGCAACATTTTGTGCAGTCCATATTGAGCATTCACATGCCGTGTAGTACCAGTTTTTGTTTTATAATAATCATAATCATCATCAGTGGTTTTTAATGTTTTGCTAGCAGTATACGTTGGTGTCGTTTCAAAAACGGGTCTTGCACGTAATTGTTGTAATTGTTCCTCCTCTCCTTTATTAATACGAGATTCCTTCTTAAAAATCTAATGTTAGTGATCAAGATTAAAATGAACTACTTTGGTTATCACCAGGCTACAGTTGTTACTTACAAATATGGTAACTTCTTTCACTGTAATACAAAGATTGTTTGTTTGAGGACCAGTAATGGAAAAATGACACAGACTTTAGTTTCAGTGGGGGGGGAAAGGACAAGACTATATTTCTTTGGTTTAAGGTGAGGTTTATAAGAACTTATTTTCATGGGGGGAGCAAGGAGGACAACCTGTAGTTGGTCCGCTTTTATTCTTTCGTGCATGTAAATATGAGCACCAGTTGACAGTAGTATCCCAATAAATTGTAAAATATTGATCTCTTTGTACCTACATCTTCTACTTTTCCTGTTGTTTTCATGTTTTCCCCCCTCATTTACCCTTTACATCACCGGGTGCTGGTGATAACTGGCGTGCAGCAGGCCAAAGGTCGCCAGCAGAAACGGCGGCACAGAAACGTAAGTCGGTCGCACAGCTTTGCTGCTCAGGCAATGCTGGGAATGCTGCATGAATGAGACAGCAATGCTGGCTGTGTCTGCTGCTGCCTGACCTGGAGTGTGTTAGTCATCACGACATCATGGTATCTCATCCTGTTCCACCACCTCTCGCCATCCAGCTTCCTTTTCTATGTCTGTCAATATAATTGATTTAGACTGCTTCTAATAAAGCTGATTTCATTTATTCTAGACATTGTGTTATGATTATAGTTGTGATTATCAGTTTTGATCAAACTGCTAATGATTCTTGGAAGCAAACTGTTTTCTGAGAGTTCGAGTTGGATAAGGTCAGTATCAGCCTCCCAGCTTTGTTAAAGACTGGAAGCAGAAGGTTAAAAAGGCAGATGACAATTTAAAGGAAAAGAGAGCTGATCTCATTATACTGTCAGTCACCATAAATTTGTTTTGGGATTTATTAATTTATTTATTTATTTTTTGCGAGTGTTGTATTTCTGTTCCCCATTTTAAAGCAAACTGCTTTCAATCTCTTTGTTAACAGGCTGGAGGCTAATGATGAATTACTATCAATCTGACTCGGAAAGAAGCAATCTTGTTCTGCTTCAAAATTCATTGGAGATGGAGTTGATTTCTAATCAGCGTTTTGTGTTTAAATCTTTTTTTTACCCCTGCATGTTTTTTGGTTTTGCTTGCTTTTTCACATCAGCCTTGGGTTTGTTCTTGACCTGTGCGTTAATGCATTTGTTGCTGTGTTTGCTGTCCTACAGTGTGACTCTTGGTGTTAATTTGTGGTGTTCTTCCCGCAGTCATCCTCACATGCAGGAGACCAGGAGCTGGTTTCACGCATGAAGAGCCTGGAGCTGGAGAACCAGACCCTGCACAAAGGTTTGTGCTTAAACTATAATACACATGTTCAAGATTTTATCGAAATAAAACATGACATTATAAAAGAGCTGCTCGTAGTAAAATATTGCAGGGCGGCAGTCAGACGTGTTGCACAGTTTCAAGATGAGGTTTTCTGGTGTTCCTTCAGTTAGGTTTGCAGCTTATCTGTCAGGACAGTGAGCCTTGATACATCAGTGCGCCAAGCTGCTGCACCCAGATGTTTGCCTGTACACAAGTGTGCACATTGCTACGACGCAGACCACAACAGTTGTAGTTTGTCTGTTTATTGCAGTGATGTTAATGAGCAGATTGATCAGGACACAAAGTCAAAAGTTTAATTCCATGAAATTAAAACTACAGATTTCTTTTAAAGAAACTTTTTTTTAAACAAATAAACCCCGTGGTTGAGCAGATTCTCAGTTTGTAGCTTTCATGATCAAAATCGGCCAAAACCAGTATCAGGTTGACCTTAAAGGTGTCTGGAATCTGAATCACCCAAAAAAAACTGTTTAGTGCAAATCTATTTAAAGGGTTTACTTAATCATCTTGACAGGTTCAGTCTTTTCTTACATGCATACATCTGTCTGCAGGGTGTACACACCCACGATGAATGGTGGTAAACAATCAATTTGGCTATTACTGTTACAAAAATGTAGGAAACTGTGGAGAAGTTCAAAGCAAAATGTGGAGAGGCTGATAAGGGATGGATGATCTGATATCCTCGTGTTGGTGTTGTTCCCAGACCATCATGAAAATGTTGTTCCAGGTTCAACATTTCAAGTGACGAATCATATTGTTGTTACGTTATTCCTTTGCGCACCAAGCCATTCGTGCATTTATGAAATTCCAATGTTGCAAGGACAATATCAATTCTGCTTACTGTTTATTAAAGGGTTAGGGTCAGGGTCCGTTGATTGGCGGACAGAGGCGGTTTCACGCAGCTTAAGTACAGTTTTTTGTTTTGTTTTGTTTTATACCGGTTTTTCCCGAAGTCGCAAAAGTATGACGTCACAACATTCTGATTGGTCACTTGCAATGTTGATCCTGGAACAACATTTAGTATGATGATCTGGGAACAACACCAACACGAGGATATCAGATCAACCGATGAGGGATTGTAAACCAGCACAAACAGATTTGAATGTGTCAAAGTCAACCCTGATAACCTATACATACCAGCTTGAGATGTGCCCTTATTTGTAAGCTCGTTTTTGCTGCCCCCAAGTGGCAAATGTATGTATTTGACTTTGACTTTGTGTTTGCTTGTGTAGTGGTGGTTGAGATGAGGGCAACCCTGCAGAAGCTAGAGTCCAGAGTGGCTGTGCTGGAGAAGAGCCCAACACCAGCAGCCATCCCTGCTGCAAAGGTAGATGCTGTGGGATGTTCATAGCTTCTAAAACAGACGTCTTTCGGGGGGTCCTACAAATCTTCTCTGTACTTGAATTCAAGTTTTGATGTTAATCAAAAGGGAAACGTGTACACTGGCAGATCACACTTTTGGTTTTGATTTGAAGTCATTTCTTTAATCTTCTGTCGTGTGTGTGTGTGTGTGTGTGTGTGTGTGTGTGTGTGCGCGCGCGCGCTTTCTTCCTTATTTCATATAATCAATTGAAGTTCCTTTCCTTCATGCCTTTCACTGTGATGTTTTGAGTCACGCACTAGAAGGACTATTTGTAAAATACACCATCTATTCCCTTTGTTTTTTCCATCTGCATTGTCCAGGTTGCTCCAGTCAAACAGGAAAAAGTGATAAATGGTGACGATGATGACATAGACTTGTTTGGCAGCGACGAGGAAGATGAGGAGGCAGAACGTATAAAGCAGGAGCGCTTGGAGGCCTACGCAGCCAAGAAGGCAAAGAAACCAGCTCTCATTGCTAAGTCATCCATCCTGCTGGATGTCAAACCTGTAAGTATCTATCAAAGCATAAAAGATTTTCACATGTGCAAGTTTTTCTTTAAAATTTTAATTTGATACATTTTATTCGTGGTTAAGGGTTTTGGGGGTTTTTTTGTTTTGTTTTTTTTCTGGTAAATCCTGAAAAACTGACTAGTCTGTAATGGTAATGATTGTTGAAGAGGAAAATTTTTTTTTAAAAACTTTTAAGCGATACATTTTAACTGTAATGTGAGCTGTGTCATTGAACCCGATTGGTATTTGTGTCTCTCCCCTTCTTGTGTGTGTTTAGTGGGACGATGAGACGGATATGGCTAAGCTGGAGGAGTGTGTGCGCTCTGTGCAGATGGACGGGCTCCTGTGGGGAGCTTCCAAGCTGGTGCCAGTCGGCTATGGCATCAAGAAGCTGCAGATCAGCTGTGTGGTTGAGGACGATAAAGTTGGCACAGACATCCTGGAAGAGGAGATCACCAAGTTTGAGGACTATGTAAGTAACAATCACAGAGGTGTAAACAGTTTGTGGTGTTGAGCCATGTTTTAACAGTTGTCACAATGCAGCTGGACGAGAGTTTTACATGCCAGTGTTCAGATTAGAAATGGTTCCCTCCTTTCACCAGACAAATATTGTTTCTCCAAAAATGCTTACATCCTTTGTAATAAGATTATCTATATATAGATAGGTTTGTTTTTGTTTATTAAAGAGGTGGTTTCCTCCTCTTTATGGACTCCTAACTCTCCATTTATGAATCTAGTCGTTATCTTTTATTCTGCTCTGAGATATGAATCGAAAATTCATTTTACTTTTTAATCATTGGTGCAAGAAATCATATTGCAGTAAACATTTAGTGAAGACTTCTCACTCACTCATCACAAAAAGCATCTTTTACCAGTTTTGTAAGTTAATCAGTAAAACAACTTTATTTAAATAATGGCTTTCATTACATTAAATCTTAATAGCATAAATATGTTGCAATAACTGACTTTGCATTCAATTCTTTCTTCCTCTGTAGATCCAGAGTGTCGATGTTGCTGCCTTCAATAAGATCTAAGCTCCTCCAGCCCTTCACCTGCTCCACCAAAGTGTTGTTGCTGCTGCGGGTGTGTGGTTAATAAAAAGAAAAGCAAATCTTTGAGCACAAACATCTGCCTCAGTTTCCTCATTATTCTCACTGAAATGAATTATTCTGCCTGTCTTCACATGTTAAATTGAGCACAGCTTCAAAGTGGAGCCCAGCCCCACCCAGAATCCAGGGTATAGAGGCTGTGTGAATGTGATCTTCTCTTTGTGAAGCAGAACCATTGCATCAGAAACATTAAAGAAGGATAAAGTCCCACCTCTGAAATCTAGATACACTCCTATTCTGCTAGCACACTGGGCACTGAGAGTCATGCTCTCCTTATTGTGCTGAAATGAGCAGGCTGTGGGTGAGCAGTCCAGGCTCCACGATTTAGAGTTGTGCCCCAGCTTGCACTCGCTCCCTCCTCCGGCCCGGCTCATGTTCTTGTAGCACACGCCGACGGAAACCCCTCCGTTTCCGGTCCACTCGATCTCCCAGTAGCAGCGTCCAGCCATCCCGGCCTTACACAGCACCTGTGCCCAGCTGGTGAAGCGGTCTGGGTGGTCCGCGTAGGGCTGCGGGTCGGCGCGTGTGGTCACGGCTCGTTGCCCGTCAGAGAAGCACAAGTAAGAGTTGGCAGTGTTCGGGTCCAGGATTATATCGTTGTAATCTGGACAGAAGATGAGCGTGTGCTACAGATGACTGTATTTGATGGTGGTATGATTTGTAAATGATCGTACTCACATTGAAGAAAATCAGCTCTCGTCTTTGGTTCTGAGTTGTAGGGTATGTCAGCGTCTTTAACTGTTAGATTTAGAGGATAAAGGGTTAAATTAAATTTAAGTGACAGTTTTCTAAGTTTTGTGTGTGAGGTTAGTAAATCTCACCTTTAGCCTTTTCAGAGTTGTTCTTACTGCTGCTTTCTTTCAGTAAAGTGACTGAAAATGTAAATTAGAAAATAAAGGTGTTGGGGTTTCTTTGTAAATCGTGTGTGTTGCAATGAGAAGTGAAGTAAAGGGTACGTTTACGTCACTACTTACCCTTTTCAGATATTTTGGAGAATTCTTTTTGAAGTGTATCATCCAGATTGTCCTTCAGGTTAACCAGCGCCCCTTTCGTGGTTTTATACATCAAATAATGAAGCGCATCAGTGCTGGGCATCTCCACGGACTTTGTAGGGAAGTGAAGAGACTTACACTTCTGCAAAAACATTCAACACAACAGCATTTGAATTAGGGCTGTTGGATATAACTATATATATCGGATGACCACAACTGTTTACGGCAATATTTTTTTTTTCATCGTTTTGATGGTCACTGTAGTGGCTATATTAATTTCTTAAAGTTCTCTCTTTCTCTTATATTTAATATAACCACACTGTGGACGGACAAGCGCCTGTTTTTTATGCATTAGCAACAATGATGGTAACACTATCGTGTGTCCGCTTGTTTATTTTCCATATAAACCTTTCACAATAAAGCTCAGGATCCTGTTGAGACTTTTCAAAATAAACTGAATCATGTGAAAGAGCAGATTATTTACGGATGAGAAGTAAAAAAAGATCCGCCATGTGCTAAAAAATAAACCTTAGACTCAAACGTTAGAACAGGCTTTTCCCAGCAGCACGCTGTGTAATAAATACTCAAAGAAAACGGTCGTTACAACTTATGTCTAAAAATGTATAGTTTCATGCATCTGTTAAAACACTCGACTCCAGCTACATGACGCGCAGCTGGAAACACTTCCCGAGCTGCCCGAGATTCACATAATTTACAGAAAATGTAAAATTTTTGTGATTTATATCGTTATCGGACGATAGAATTCTTATATCGGGATATGAGATTTTGGTCATATCGCACAGCCCTAATTTGAATACAAATGCAGCAGGTGTAAATAAACCAGGAAGGCTCGCAGAACAGTTGTGGTGAATCGCTTACAGCCCAGACCAAAAAGAGAGCAAGTTTTATTTATTTATTTTTTATTTAATAAAAAGGATTAAAAGGAGACAAAACATTTAAATATATTATCGTGCCAAGATAAACTGTTCCCGTGAGTGCTGAATACTTTGGATGCGTTTGATAAATAGGCCATTTGGCTGCAGTTCAAACATTACTCATGTTAACATGGATCCAAATAGGGGAAAGCATAAGTCTGCAGGTTTGACCTTTTCCATAGTTCTGCATCAGTAAACATACAGGAGTCTTTCTGGGAAGGGACCTTACAAAGTGCCTTTGCCAAATGATGTGTGACTGAAGTTCTCTGCAACTTCTGAATTTTAAAGTTTGTAATTTGCGTTTTCACTTCAGTTTTTCTCATGCTAAGTTTCAGATTTGTCCTTGATTCTGGAGATCCTGGAAACACTTCAACAGACGCTGAATGAACTTTAGTGTTAGTAGCTAAAGCTGATAGCACACGTGTGATTTGGATTATTTATCATCCTCAGTTAAATCTCACTTCATAAGTAAATATAGAAATTACAGTGTACTTACTTTTAGATGTGATTAATTTCAGTAATTTTTAAGAGGAACAGTGAAAGTAAATTATCTAGACATTAGTAAAATGGGAAATAACCTCACTGTCTTCTGCCTGATTAGGATTTCCCTCACCATCCAAAGCCAAAAGAGGTAAGTGAACACTAAACTGAGCAGATTGTGTATTTATAAAACCCCTTTCTGGCCTCAGGGCCCCAAATCAGCAAAGTATATCAAAAAGCTTTGAACGTTTCCCTTATAAGAGAGACTTGTGGTTAGATTAAAAACAAAAGTCAATCTTTCCCAAATTTTTAATTCAAACTTCAGTTTCACACCTGAAGAAAGTGGATGTGGTCTTCAGTGTGAGAGAGCTTCTCCAGCTCAGCGCCGGTCCTCTTGAGCTCGGCCATCTCCTTCTGTATCTTCTCCAGCTCCTCCTCAGCCTGACTGACGGCTGCTTTGCCCTGGACTCTGATCAGCTCCTTCACCTCGCTGTTCTGTTTCTCAATGGATCGGATCAGCTTGGAGAAAATCCTCTCACTCTCCTCCTGTGCAGCCTCCGTGGAGTGCTGTGGAAGATAAAAGTTTCCTCTTTTGGTCCCCTGGATTCACTGGAACTGCACTTTTGACAAAGACACATTTTAAAGCTCCTGGAGAGGAAATGCACTCACCTTGATGTATCTGATTACGTATCGTAGTTCCTTCTCAGTCTCCTTCAGTTTCTGCACAGACTTCAAAGAGGTCTCCTGGAGTTTTTTCTAAGAGAATACAAAAGATGAATATCAATCACATGGAGCAGTCCCCTGTGCCGCTTAGGCGAATAATTTTTCGCGGCTGCATTTCACGGTGGAAAGTTTTGATTTCAAAAATCAAAGGATGGCAGTACAGTAGGAGGCCTTTGGTCTTCCAGCCAAGATACAGCAGCAGGACCAAAGCACACGTTACTCTGCTTGTGTTCAATATTTTCAATGCTGAGTTTTCTTCATTTGTATATAATGGCTATCACTGTGACTTTGTAGCCTTTTCCAGAGTGACACATATCAGTGACTTTGTTCTCATCTTAGTTCAATCTTAGTCTACTTCATATGTTTTAAGTGATTCCTTGATTCAACAGGTCTGGCAGCAAAACTCAGCTTTCCAAAAAATGTCGATTAAGAGTTTTTTGAGCTTATATCATAGACTGTACCGGTACACATGACCTTATCTGGAAAAAAGGAAAATATTCAACAAGCAGCCTAACAGGTAACAGCCTCTAATTGGTCGGTTTTTCTTTCTTTCTCATTCCTCATCTGGCTCTCTCTGGCTTTAACACTTACCTCTACAGACTGAGGAGTACTATCCCTAAGTACTGATTTGATATGTAAATCTTGACAAGTTTCCCCTTAAAATCCAAATGTGTGCTGCCAGTAAAAGCTCTCCGTCTAAATAAAGGTCTTAGAAAGCCAATAGAAGGTCAAGTGCACATTTTGAATTTCAAATCCACTCAGAAAAGATTACAAAAAAAAAGAAAAATGCTCAAACCCACCTGCTGTTTTGCCCTCTCGTCCACCACGGAGACAGTTTCATGGCCCTTATGGCTCTCTTTAACACACTGCGAGCACACACAGTGCTGGTCATTGTGACAGTACAGCCTCAGTAACTTATCGTGCTGTGGGCACAGCTTCTCTTTCAGCTGATCCGAAGGTGGGATCAGCTTATGTCCCTTTCCACGAAAGCGTTCTTCGTGGGCTTTCAGGTGAGAGGCGCAGTACGACCCTACGCACATAAGGCATGACTTCACGGCTTTGCTTTTTCTCACCGTACATGAAGTGCATTTCACCTCCTCTGGTTTGCTGGATTGTTGACTTTCGGCCTGAAATCCGGTTTTCTGAAGCTTTTCCACCAGTTCACCCAGAACAGTGTTCCTGCTCAGGAGAGGTCTTGGGTTGAACACCTGCCTGCACTGAGGACAGCTCCACTGACCTTTCTGCTTCGCCCTGTTCCAGTAGTCTTCAATGCACTCCAGGCAGTAGCTGTGTCCACAGGGGATCGTCACTGGGTCTCTTAACACCTCCAGGCACACTGAACAGCAGAACTGGTCCTGCTCAACAGAAATCGTTGTGGCTGCCATTTCCTGCACTCTCGACTGAAACTAGAACAGGCAAAGATGGGCGTAGTTCACAGGTGTGCTGACAGCAGCTTCTCAGGTTTCACCTGCTGCAACCTGAAGCCTCCAATCACAGCCAGCAAAGAAGCAAATGGGCCGTCCCAGAGAGCCTGTGCAAAGACCAGCCTGACAAAGAAAACGCCTCCAGGTCCCACATCAGGGAAGCTCCTGTGAGATCACATTTAAATACAATCTGATATGAGGCTGTACTGGAAAATGGCATTGTTTTCGTGCCTGGAGCCAGCGTTTTGGTCACGGAGCTGATGTGTAAACAAAAACCACCCGTGAGAAAATGTAGTGCGTTTGTTTTTTAATGCCAGCATGTCAAATAATCCACGTTATCATTGAAGCAAATATGACTGTTTACAGAGGATTACTGGGTTAAAAAAAATAAATAATATACCTTTAAAAGCATCTAACACTGAAATAAAATGCACTAAGTCAGTCCTGCTTGTTGCTGCTGAATACATCGTCAGTGCGATCTTCACAGATGCTTTCCTCGTGCCTTTCCCAACACTGATTACATTTGAGTATAGCAGAATAAAAAATAAAAAAAATAAAAAACAGCAATTACATGACTTAAGTTGTAGTGTGGCTTTGTGTGTGGACAGCACTTGAGTATAATGACGTTCCATCAGGGTGAGTGTGTGAAAGTGAGGTTTGATGTCCTTAAGAAGTCTTATTTCCTCCTGGGGTGAGCACGTCGTGGAGGGTGCTTATGTCTGGATCCCGAGGAGAATTTAGAGCCTGGAAAAAGAAGGAAACAAAGAAAGAAATCTTTTTTTTTTGTTTTTGCCTTTTGTCTTTAGCACAAATAAATACCACAACTTATACCAGTAGAGTCTAGCTTGAAATGTGAGGAAGGGGTAAAGTTGTTACTAATTTTCTGTTTATCCACTACTGGATCGAACCTTCTACAAAGAATGATGATCAACAACAATAGCTACGTAAAAAGATCAATGCACACGTGTGTAAAAACAAGCTTTTCTGGAACAATATGAATAAAAACTAAAGTCCCGCAGCGTGGAAGCGATTGATGTTCTTTTTTCATTGTTTTCTGAAGTTTTGAGTTTTTTTCTTTTCTCATTTTGTGACGCTGTTTAACAGAATTTAGATTAAGTGAATCGATCCCTGCCTGCCTTTAAGCTAAAATGTTCAATCCAAAAACCTGACTTAGCAGCAATCAAATAGCCAGCATGAGCAAACATTTTTTTAAAGTCAAACTTTACTCCGGCATTTTTTTACAAGATTATATCAGATTTGTCACGTGGCTATAGATTTATCTCAAAGTACTTTGGCTGATCCCTTATTTCCCAAAAGGTCACCACAACGGATCGATCCATGTTTTTGTTTTTTTTAAATATCGGACTATCAAATAGAAGCTTGTTTCCACTCCTGGAAAACAGTGAAAATTTCAGCTCAAACTTGTTGGAAAATAACTAAAAATTGAGAAAATAATTAAAAATTTCAAGTTATTTTCACAGAAGATAGAGTTAGTAAGTGAGAATTGTGAGATACCCAAACAAAAACTTTTAAATAAAAATCTAAATTGTAACTCGTGAATGTTTTAGTGCCAGAAATGAGCTTCCATAAATTCCTGACACAACCCTCCCATTAATCAAAGCTTGGGATTAGGACTAGGAGTGCCACGCAGCCACATGAAAGCACTGCTTGCTGACGTGTATCAAATAAGATTTAGGTCTCAAACTGTGCTGAGTGGCTCCAAAGTGTAGAGCTTCACACATCCACCTAACAAGGGAACGATCCCAGGCGGAGACAAAAATCAATATTTAAAGATTCTCGACCATCTGGCTGAGCTACTTATTAACTAAAGATTAGCTTTAAAATATTGACTATGTAAACAAAACACAACAAACAAATCTATCAAACAAAGAAACAAGAGTTAATATTTGCACAAGTTCTTGTTACAGTGACACCCGGCACTGGCGGGTTTAAGCACATCTAAACTCAATCGGCTTCTTTCTTTATTACACTAGAACAATATTATGAGCAGAAGGATTTGCATGTGGTTTGCTTGAGTTAAGTGGGTTTCACACACGTGCAGTAAATACTGTTTAAATGTTGTAGTTACCAAATGGTGAAAAGGAAAACGCTGGAGGTCCTGGAGTGAGGAAGGGGTTGAGAGGGCTCACATGACTTTGGTCTAGACCAGGCGAAGGGATCACTGCGATAACAAAGACGGGTAACAAAAAGAGGTTACTACAGTCTCAGCTATCGGTCTTTATCTGCACATTCAGCAAAGCCAACTGTAAGCAAACAGTTTCTGCTGTGAGATAATAAGGTCAGATTAACATGTCTCATTTTTCACAATAAAAATAAAAATAAAATAAACAGAATTTTATCAGGACAGAAATTTTACATTTTTAGTGTGTTTTTGGTGACATGTGAGAGTTTTTTGTGGATTTATATTAGTCTTACTTAAGTTTGATTTAAGGCAAATTCCTTCTAGAAAAACAGGAAAATATTCATTTTGTTTTCATGTTACACCAAACATGAAAAATATCAGTGTAGACCACTGAGCTTTTGATAAAGTGGATGAATTTCTTTTATATTTATATCACATTTCTGTCAGTATCTCCCAGCTGTTACAACAATATCACCCAATTATTATATCACTTTATATTTTTTTATTTAGATATTCTTTATTTTAACTGCCATTTATTATCTAAGGGTTGTTTGAAATCAGTAAATTATACATTTTAATCTTTAATATCTTAATGGTGTGTGACCCTGCTGCCAGGGGAGGTTTATTTAAATGACCCTACAGGCCTTTACACACCGGACACCTAAAATACGTGCGACTATGTAAAACCCTAAAAAATAAATGTATTGAGCTTTGTAAGAGTGTTTAATCCGGCGCAGATAACATGGTGATTTTGATTTAAAAGAGTGATTTAAGATGATTAAAAATAATCCCTGACCACCAAAACTGCTGCACTGTTTAAAACTGTTAATAAAACCTGTGAATGTGACACACATGAACACTCACATGCAGCTGCTTCCATTTGTACAACTTCCAGATTAAAACTTCGATCCACCACCGTGCAGTCAGACTCGACTGCGAGATCTGGATTCCTTACAATTACTATATTTCTCACTGTAAAGGATAAAAAAGTAGAACAACGTCAACAGACAGTCGACAGAATCATTTATGGTGCAAAAAATTAAAATGTGATACAAATCTTTATATCTACCTCTCTCATAAATGCTGACACATCCGTTCTGACAGACCTCCTGCAAAAGCGCCTTAAAATCTGACACAGCTGTCGTCACCGGGCCGAAGGTGAAGTCTGGGTCCGAGGCAACCAACGGCGAAGCCGACAGCACAGGTGGAGCATGGAGGGACTGACAGCTCTAAATACAGACCAGGAACAGTGGTGAAGATAAAACTTGAACCACTTTTTTTCCCAAGACTTTGCTGTGGCGGTGTGTTTATGAATATTTCAGCACGTGGTGGGCTTAGCAACATAGAGACTAGGAAGGTAAGCTGACGCAGAGATGTTTCCCAGCATGCTATTTATACAGAACACAACAAGGAAGGGTGAGTAGCAGAAATAAGTGGAGGGGTGGCATTCATGACAAAAGACAAGACATAAAATGGTTTGGTCAACGACCACAAGGCACCAGATCCAAGGCTGGAACTACAGTAGTGAAAGATTATCTACGAAAGGGTCTGGATGTGATAAAAGCTTAGGAAATTCCCAAGTTTAAGAACTCCCTACAAACAGGGACTATTTTCATTGTGTAGCATATCGTCACAGTAAAATGTCCTGAGAGTGTGATAAACTCTTATCCACCTGAAGGAAATGGATGGGGTCTTCAGCGTGGGAAAGCTTATCCAGTTCATCTTCATTCTTCTTCAGCTCGCCGATCTCCTTCTGAATGTGCTCCAGCAGCTTCTCTGCCTCACCGATGGCCGTCTTCTCCTGAGCTTTAATCAGCTCTCTAACCTCAAAGCGCTTCAGCTCTATTGACCGAATCAGCTCGGAGAAGACTGCGTCGCTTTCCTCGGCTGCTACACGAGCCGAACGCTGGAGGGAGACACAGAGAACAGAACGCCAGACAAAGAGTGAAGAAAGACCAAAAAAAACTTCAAAAGTTGATAAAATAGCAAATGTAGACCTTTAACAGTAGAAAGATTAGACATTTTTACCATCCAACAGTGAGATGTTGAACATCAGCACTTACGCTGAGAGAGAAAATGGCTTTTCTCAGCTCCTGCACCTCCTTTTCTCTTTGCTGAATCCTCAGCTGGGAGCTCTGCTTGATCTCACTGAGCTGCCTCTGACGAAAATCAAAAATCAAAAGTCATGTAACTGAACAGAAGTAGATGCATTTCATTCTCTGCTACATTATCCAGATTTCCTGCTACACTGGGCCTGTGCACGGACTGAAGTCAGTTGTCACTAAAACTGAATCACTAAAAAAAGAGAAGAAATTAAAAATTATTATGAAGCCTTTCAGTTGTTTAATTCTTTGCTGCTTTTATTCCACACAAATACCCCAAAACAGGTTTGAGGAACTCCAGAGGCGTTTCAAACCCAAACTATAAACTTCACATCTCTGCTCCATTTCTCTGACGAGTCTACAGTTAAACTGTTTGGTCCTACTGTGGATCAGGCTGAAAATGTATTCTAGATTAGATAGTGTGGTGAATTAAAGACACCGAAACACTCAGTGATGAACGTTGGATCTTTTTAACACAAAAGATCTGAGTTATCAGCTTTAATGCTTTCCTCATTAAAACTGCATCACAAATTATGACTCGGTAGTAAAACCCTGAAAACCACTGAGACCTTTAAAATACAATCAATAGCTCAGTTCACAATAAAAGAATAGTGAACAGCAGCAGTTAGCAACAGATATACAGAAAATTAAATGATGTTCATTTGCGTGACTATTATTTGAACATGTAAGCAGTGGTTTATATGTTTGCCTATCAAATGGAAAGGCCCTTGGTTAATTCCAGGAAGAGACCCAAATCAATTTGGAATTACAGCATGTCAAAATTTACATGAGGGTGTCAGCTTTTCTTTCTTTTTCTTTTGGTGAGA